CGTTAAAATGTGTCATGTCTATGGATTACAGACTTCCTTCTAATTTGGCTGAAGGAGACCTGACTCCCTTTGGACAAAAGAGAATTTAAATGGCTCCTAAAGGTATCTGAAAGATAAGTTTATTTAGATACAGGAATGATAAGGGTGAGGAGACTGCACTCAGCAGTTAGGTGTTTCTCTCAGTAAGGCCTAAAGATCTCCCTGGTAGGCTGTGATCAGCAGAAGGGCTCTATGTTGCTTGGCTGGATAAGAGAATGCAAACAGGCATAATCCCATACTCAGAAAGAGAGGGAGTGGGTATCATCGGGATGATTTAAAGAGAAGAGCCAGGAGTAGCATTTTTGTTTCAAAAAGTTGACTTGATTTCCATGTTAGGTGCAACTACCAGAACCTCTCAAGAGTGTTAAATGTCTTGGAAGCAGATACATCAAATACTAGATTGCCCTAGTTTGTTTTAAGGAGTATTTACATTAAAGCTGTTATACTATTTCTGCCCTGTTGAATTCCAGATGTGTACTAGAACTAGCCTACCATTTCCTGTCATCCCTGGTACTACCATGGTAGTTTTGTAATGAACACCAACCCTCTTACTTGCATCTTTGTTCTTGATCCAGATGTCCCAGTATTGATTGATGCATTTATTCCTTCAATAAGTATTTGATGAGCTTCTATTGTATGTCAGGAATTATGCTAAGAACTGGGAATGTGCAGCAAAATAAATTGACCTACTTCTTATCCTTAGAATCAAGTAGAAGAAAAGGAAAACAACCACAAGCCAATTGATATGTAATTAGTGCTGATTTAGATAGAAAAGGCTTCTTTAAAAAAGTGACATGTATGTTAGAATGAGTACGAAGTGACTAGGTAGAAGCAGAGAAATGCATGCGAGCCCAAGGAAACAGAATGTGGAAAGATCTTGGGGCAGGAAAGAGCTTTATGCACATGAAGAAGTAAAGGGAAGCCAGAATGACTGGAGGTCAGGGAGAGACATTTGATGATGCTGGTGAGCATGTTGGTGGCTTTGGAGGCCTTGTTGTGGATTTTAGAACTTGCTCTCAAGTTACAAGAAGCCCTTAGAAGACAGAAAGCCCTCTGTAAGCAAGAGAAGGACAGAATCAGGTTTATCTTTCTAAGAAATCCTTCTGAGCTGCTTCTGTGTGTAGAGTAAGTTGAACAGAATCCAGAATGGAAAGGAGATGATCCATTAAGAGGTCACTGTATGGGGCAAACCATGATTATGACTTGACTAGGGTAGTGGTAGTAACAACAGAGCGTGGGTTGGAAGGATGTGAAGAACAGCGGGGAGGTAGACTCAACAGGATTTGAAGCTGGATTGGATGTGATAAGACGACAGCTTTCAGTAACACTTTCTTTCTTAGAGAAACTTTCCTAAATTTAACTCCCCTGCTTGGGTGTTACAATTACCACCACCACCACCCATCCGTATTTCCATAGCTTTTCATAGTAACTTTACCACAACTGGTGGGGCGGGGTGTCAAGGCAAAAGAAGATGTGGTCTCTGATTCTACCTGATCACTCAGACAGCATTCTCAGGACAAGAGTCACCACATGCCAGGTCTGAACCTCAGCCTTGCGGGGCTGAAACCAGGCTCTGAACTCCTCAAAAATGACCAGTTCTTTTTATGAAGGACTCTTACCTATTGAATGTAGCAGGATAACCCATTTCTCTGCATATATATTTTCTAACACTAATATAAACTGCTTAACAAGCCTCTCTATCCCACTGAGAAGAGGGAGGGAAATAAACTTAATTTGCCAATCAAGTGTATTAGTTAATCCAGTCTTGTAATGGTAAAATCAATCCCTTTGGGGAACATTAACACTTTCCTTCTCTTCACATTATCCTATATAATGAAGAGCTAATGTGCTAATTAGACTGAACAGCATATTCTACCGTCCAGATGACCTTCTGGATGATCTTCCAGACGAAGCTAGACTTTGAGGGCTTGTTGGCCAAGGCTGCCAGAAGGGTTGTGAGGGTCGTCTGCATCATCCGGGGCTGGGAGAGCTGAGTCTCTTGAACGAATTTTGTGCATTGGGCCTCTAGTTTTTGTAATAATCCTAAACCTCCCTGAGGCAAGTAAATAGCACAGGGTGGGGGTGGGGAAGGAGCAAGGGAATGCAGAGAGAAATGCATGTAAATACACTTAAAAATATTATCTCTAACACATCATAACCTAAACTAAAAAAAAAAAAAAAAAAAAAAAACATTTATTAACTGATTGTAGAATCATCTCTCTCTAGTGTCCAGAATTTGACATTTCTTACCCACACCCCATCTTGTAATTGAGATGTCTCCAAAGCCATTTTATTAGTTAAAATGTTGTTAGGTGAGCATGAAATCTCATCAAGAAATAAAATAAAATTATGTATGTAATAAGCCCTAGGAAAAGCTTACTATACAGCCTGGTCTCATGGCCAACATGACTTTTCTCTGGTTTTCCTCAACTGGTGGATTTTCTCTTCTCTGTCCCAGTTTTTCTCATTCAGGACATTGCTGAACACTCACTGGACCTTTCTCACTGAGGTCAGAACACACCTCTGTTTGGCCTGCTTTATTTCTCTGTGCATGTGGTAATATCCAAGTATTTGCAAAAGTCCCATGTCTTTGGACTAGGAGAAAGTCTGTCTTTTATGTAAGAGACTTTACATAATACTTTTTTTTTTTTAACTACCAAAGTCTGTCTTTTACTATTCCATGCTGAGCCAATCAAACTGAGAAATTATAAAGACACTTACCACATCCAGCCACAATTATAGTGGAAGCCATAACAGAAAAGCTATGGCAACCTGGGTAGATACTACAGTCAGCTGGGTGAAATAATAGTAACCTGAGTCTTGGGAAAAGACTGTAAGTTTAATCCTGTTGTAAACTTATCTCTACTTATGTGAGTTTGGGTAAAGTAAGCTCTCCACAGCTTAATTAACACAGCAATAAAATGGAAATATTTTAGTGTCTCCCCATGCTGTGATGGTTCATTTTATTTCAGCCTAACTGAACTACCAGGTGCCCAGACATTTGGTCAAACATTATTCTGGGTATGTCTGTGAGGGTGTTTTGGATGAGATTAACTTCTTGAATCAATAGACGGAGTAGATTGCTTCCCCTAAGGTGTGGGTGAGCCCCATCCAATGAGTTGAAAATGGAATAGGATGAAAAGGCTGACTTTCCTTCAAGTAAGAAGGAATACCCCCTGCCTGGCTGTTGGAGCTAGGACATTGGTTTTTCCCTGCCTTCATGCTCAGATGAAGCATTGGTTCTTGGACTTGGCCCTGCCAGCTTTCAGACTAGAACTTACATAGTGGCTCTCATATATTTTAGGCCTTCAGACCACATCATGGAATGACCCACAATCTGGGTTTGTTTGACTGTCTCTTTGTAAGTGCCATGTAATTTGTTCTCTAGCCATCACATTAATAAGACATTGGATCTAAAGGCTTAAGTTCAGATTCAACATGGTTGTTAGAGGTAGTTTTGGGCACTTTACCTTTCATCTCATCATGAAGCACACAACATCAAATTGACCATTGTTAGAGATGCTAACTTTGATGGGAGAGTTCAGGTGGTGATAGTGTGATCTCTCCACTGCAAAGTGACATCATTCCTCTCCCCCCCCCCCTTTTTTTATAACCAGCCTGTGATCTGTAGGATGGCTCTTTGTGCTTTATTAAAACTATTCTTGGTTTTAAGGGGTGAGGGGTGTGGAGGAAGAGATATCAATTAGAGGCTATTTAGAAATTAACAAAATGAGAACTACCGCATATCAAGAAGCCAGAAAAAATAAACACAAAAAGGGCAGAAGGAATGCATTTATTTTAAATAAACAGAAATTGACGAATCAGATTTGACTGATAACCAATCCAAAAGCTATTCTTAGAAAAGATCACTAAAATAGACAAGTATTTGGTAAGTCAAACTAAGAGGAAAAGGAGATAGCACGTAAATAAACAACAGGGAATTTGTGGAAAAAATATAAGAGAAAAATGTGTTCTAGAAAATATGGTTGAAATTCTTTTTCTTTTTTTCTTTTTAATTTCTTTATTGATTGATTTTTTTCTTTTTAATTTCTTTATTACATATTTGTCCTCATCCCCCCTCCCCCCCATTACCTTTCCAACCCTACCCTCCCTATGGGTGAAATTCTGAAAAATATAATGACCAGGTTGGCTTCACAATAAATTTAAAGACCCAAATTAGTCAAATGAAGTATTCATCTATTAAAGTTAGATGAATATGCAAAATTACATAATACTTTTTTTAACTATGGTGAATTACATTCATTAGTTCATTAATGAATGTAATTCACCATATTAACAGATTGAAGCAGGAAATCATTATGAAAATAATAATAGCTAACTCATAAAAATTGCTGTGCACCAGCCACTGTTCTAAGAGCTTGAAATATAGTAACTCATTTAATTTCAATAAATGCTACAAAGGCACTTGATTCAACTCAATCCAATTCCTGATTGAAGTTGTAATAAGAAATATATTTTAGAAATAAAAAGAAGCATCCCACTCTAAAAAAAAAATTAAAGTATCAACTGGAAATCTATAGCAAGCATTACACTGGATAGTGATATTGCACATCAAATGTCAGAAACTCAACTCAAAAGAGTTTAAACAGAAAATGTATTTCTACAAGTAACTTGGACATTCCAGGGAATTTACCTAGATTGGCAATACCTTAATTCAAGGTATATCCCTAACTGGGGTACAAAAGATTATTCCATTTGCATTGAAATAGCAGCATTTCCTGGTGCATATAAACTAATATTCCATTTAGAAAAATTCAAAGTGCATACAAACTTGTCATAAATATGTCAGAAGCACCTAGTCCTTTGGTTTCGTCCAGTTTTCTTGCAGTTCATTCAAGGTGACTGTGAATATAGAGAAATCAGGAGGGCCCCACTCCTCCCCACATCCCTACCTCATCCTCCTCTTTCTCTCCCTCCTCCATCTCAGCCTTCACCCTTGCTCAGAGCTGGCTTCTGGCTTGCGTGAGGTGTTGCCTGAAGAACTTCTGGATCTCCCCCCAGGCGTGCTCCTGGGCTGCAGCATGCGCTGCAGGCTCCCCTCCCCAGAGCAGGGGCTGAGATATGGAGTAATTACGGGAACCCAAAATGGGGCGATTATTGGAAGCGGAAGCGGAAACAGAGTAGATACGGGAAGCATAGCATAGGGGTGCGTAGGGCGGCTCTAGAAGGTGGCCTGCCCCCGGGTAGACCAGCATCCTTCCATTGCTTCTCCCGTGGCTCTTCAGCTGCTCCAGGGCCTGCTCAGCATACGCTTTGCTGTTGATCGATTGATCATCCTCTCCTATGACGAAGAGGATCTGACCCTGGGCCTTTTCGATAGGAAACACGCTCGGCTGATTCAGCTTCTCCCGCGGGTCCCCCCTGAAGTGGAGGAGGCGCACGGCCCCGGAGACGTGCACCTGCATGCGCTCCAGGAACGCGGGGATGGGGGACATGACCAGACCCCGGTACCTGAATGGGAAGTCGTAGACGGCGTTAGGCCCGTTGATGAGGACGGCGGCTGCCACCTGCTTGAGGAAGCAGGCCATGGCCAGCCCGATCTCCGCGCCTTTGCTCACAGACAGCACGCCGATGCCTGGCCCTCGGACCTGAAACACACAAGGAAGGGAACCCATGGCAGGCCGCCCGCTGAGAAGCCGTGCCACGGGCCACGAACTGGTATGGCGGGCATTAGAACAAGTGAGGTGGGAGTCCTGGCACGCAGGGTCACTGGCTTTTGTGACTGAGAACAGTACCCACCTACCCTCCCTAAGCCTATTATTGTCTTGGGGTAAGAGGGATCATAGATTGTCTACTTTGCCGGATTGTTATGGAAGCTCAGGGGAAACAGAAATAAAAACTCTTTATCAGCCCTGGTGGTTGGGCTCAGTGAATAGATTAAGGACTGAAGGATCCCTGGTTGACGTGTGGACTGAGGGATCCCTGGTTCGATTCCCGTCAAGGGCATGTACCTTGGTTGCGGGCACGTCCCCAGAAGGCAGCTGATCGATATTCCTCTCTCATCAATGTTTTTTTTTTAAAATATATTTTATTGATATTTTACAGAGAGGAAGAGAGAGGGATAGAGAGTTAGAAACATCGATGAGAGAGAAACATCGATCAGCTGCCTCCTGCACACCCTCTACTGGGGATGTGCCCGCAAGCATGCCCTTGACCGGAATCGAACCCAGCACCTTTCAGTCCACAGGCTGACGCTCTATCCACTGAGCCAAACCGGTTTTGGGTCATCAATGTTTCTAACTATCCCTCTCCCTTCCTCTCTGTAAAAAAAAAAAAAAAAAAAAAAAAAAAAAAAAATCAATAAAATATATGTTTTTTTAAAAACTCTTTATCAAAGGCAGAGTTCTATAAAAGCCTGAAGGATTGAGCGCGCCAGCCGCAATCTACATCCTAAAAGCAGAGGCAGGTAAGAATCAAACTCTTCTCTCCCGCTAGGAAAACAGGTTTCCTGGGTTCTTTCAACTCTTATGTCAGAGTGGTTCCTATTTAAATGGCGTGCTACAGCTACAGAGATTTTCCAAAGGCTAATCCTAAGGAGAAAAGACTTAGATTCTACTAACAGGTGAATTTCAGGACCCCGTCCAACAGGAAAAGCAGTAAGTAGGTCAGAGGAGTGGGTCCTTCCTTCTGTGACAGGCTGAGGGGGGTGAGGGGAGGAAAGAGTCCGAGAGACAAGAGAGGAAAGGACCAGCATGCTGGAGAGACAACCGCACACCTGGTAAGTTATTTTGCTCACAGTTGTAATTCCAACACCTTTCTGTCCTCTCAATCACCTGATAAAACATTGAAGAGCCCAATGTAAATCAAAAGCAAGCGCTTTAAATGCAAGAAGTCTTGGCTTTTTGCCCACTGAAAATAATCACAATATATCCACCCTTTTTTTTTTTTTTTCCTGTCTTCTTCATGCCAGCAAGCACTACGCTGATCACTGATCAATCCCACCGTCCCCTATGGTAGATAGGAGCATCAATCCTACAAGGTAGACAACAGCATTTCCATTTTAACTGTAAACGGTCGTACTATGCCCAGGTTTAAACAGACTGGTGTAAACGGATCAGAACAAACATCTGTGATTTTTTTGTTTTTTGTGTTTTTTTTGTCGTTTGTCTTTTGCTATAAGGTTGCAAGGTAAAATGAAAATTATCTTTAAATACCTTGGGATGAGCTAGTAGCAAGTTGGCAGCCTCCTCAAAATACTCCAGGTCTATCTCCTCCAGCAGCGTGGGCAGGTCTTCGTAGGCGAAGTACGCTACTGCCAGGACTGCAAAGCCACGGGCAGCCAGCAGGCTGGCTCGGAATTCTATGAGACCCCCCACACCCCCAAACAAGTCCATGATTCCTGGGAAAGGGCCTGCCCCTGAGAACAACAAAGAGAGGAGAGAATGGGATTAGGAAGGGGGAGGAGAGGATCCAGCGGAGAGCACAGGAAGAGCAAAATGAATTCCACCTTCCCACACAAACACACAAGGGCAAGCTCATTTTTAGTAGATCTTGGGCTATACTGGTTCGTTTTAACAGATCGCGGGAAATACTTTGATGGTGCTCTTTAATTTTTTATTTTATTGATTTTTTTTACAAAGAGGAAGGGAGAGAGATAGTTAGAAACATCGATGAGAGTCATCCATCAGCTGCCTCTTGCATGCCCCCTACTGGGGATGTGCCCGCAACCAAGGTGCATGCCCTTGACCTGAATCAAACCGGGACCCTTCCGGTCCGCAGGCCGATGCTCTATCCACTGAGCCAAACCGGTTTCGGCAGTGCTCTTTGATTTTGTTTTTATTTCCATCAACCCTGTTTTCTCTACCACCATCGATCCGTCTCACCTGGAGGGAGGAAGAGGGTGCCCCGCACGCGGCCCTCTCGGATGGGCACCCGCTGCGTCCCCGGGCGGCGGAACCAGCGCTGCACCACCTGGCTGGCCCGGGGCGGAGCCGGGGCTGGATCTTGGGAGCAAACGGAGTCGTACAGGTCCAGCGTGACCAAGAAGGGGCTGTTCACATCCCTCTTCAGCAGCCTCCCAAAGGGCCTCTCAGGCTTCAGAGACCAGAAGAGGCCCATGGGGTGGACCCCCACGTAGTCGCCTCCCACGGAAGGAGCCCGCTGCAGGTCCAGCTCACCGGCCTCGTCAGCCTGGTAGAAGGCCTTGGACTGGTAGAGGTTTCCCTTCTCATCCTTCAGGGATGCTTTGAGGGTCACCGGCTGCAGCGGAGGCAGGCCTGTCGCTCGGATGTGCACAGGCTCATCAGAAAGGGCGCTGGCCGGGGTGGCTGTTAGCTGGAACATTGGTGGCCCGCCCTGCAGAGACAGAGGAGGCTTTGAGCTGGAGAAAAGTCCAAGGAAAAGGTCCAGACCAGGCTTATGTGAGGTCCAGCCAAGTTAGCTTTCTGGAGACAGTGCAAGGTCTGCAGAACATTTGGAGGAGGGAGTCCCTGTTACCCTCATTTTAAAGAGCAGGAAACAGGTTACGTGACACATTCAAAGCCTCATAAATAATTAATAGTAGAACTGGAAATTCAAGCTGGGTCCGACACCCACAGCCTCCTGTCTTATCCATTATATAACAGTGTGTTAAATCTTAGTGGTGTGGTGTTAAGTAAATGGAGCTTTAATTCCTCAGTTGAGATTAATAGCCATGGGACCAATGTCAGAGGGTGTTTGTTAGAGCCCAAAAGTGCCCGAGGAAGGGCTAGAGGAAGGATCAGTGCTGCCATTTCAGTCCCCGGCCTTCCTGGGCCACACGCATGTAAACACAGAATATGCAGTGGTGTGTTTACTTTCTCTCTAACCTCTCCCTGACCTTGTAAATCAGACCTCCTGCTCTCTCACAGTTCCTATTATTGGGTCTTTCTAAGGGAAAATAAAACTTTATGATCTTGTCTCAATGTTGTTTGTAGTAAAGAGACTATAGTGTATATTTGATCAGCCATTTCTTACTCTGCTCAATTATGAGGAATATTTCCTACCTTCCTATCTGCCTTTTCTTCCTTCATTTCTCTCTTCCTTTCTTTCTTTCTTCCTTCCTTTTTTTCTTTCTTTCTACCTTCCTTTCTTTCTCTCCTTCCTTCCTTTATCCAAATCCCCATTTCTCAAAGGTATGGAGTGTGGGGGGTTTTCCAATAATATCTTCACATACATTGTAGCAGTAGGTGTCCCCTCAGAAAGTTTGATTTTCCAAGGGACCCTTAATTTTTTATGGGGGAATGTGAATTCAAGACGTTCAGGGCTAGATTTGTGAGAAGGAAAACCTTGAGAAAATAAACTGGCAGGGACAGCAATGGGGGTCCTTCACTGTGGAGAGTCATTGGAGGAAGGCGATGGTCAAAGGAAAGTGATTTTGCTGCAAAGACCTCATTCCTTCCCAACCTGAACTATCAACAACCAGCATTACTGGCCATTTTGCGTACTAAGCCTAAACTCTTTTTGAGTTAATGGAGTAATTGTGAATGTTTTTCTCCAACACCTGGAAAGTTCTTAACAGAAGCAGGTGGCATCAGTTCAGACTTCCTGGATCTTTCATTCATGTTAGTGAGATGGGACACTCTTTTTAAAAATCCCATGTCCCGTGCAACATTTTGATGCTCTGTTGGGTATTTTCTGATCTGCTCCTTCCTGTAAGCCTCTATATCAATTGTTTCCTTTGTCCTCCGCTTTGATGCACTACTACTGAAGTTGGGAGACTCCTCCAAGTCCAAAAGAGATCGTAAAGAAGGGATCAGTGATTTCCCCTATTTTACAAATCCATTCCCAGGTCTTCTTGGTGCTTTCTTTCTCAAAACTTCTACACAAAGTATTGACTCTAAGATATTTTATTTTCTAGTCGAATTAATTTGAATTGTTTCCGTACCCATTCTCCAGCAGGCATCCTGCCTCTGTTCTGATCCCCTCAAGTGAACTACAAACTCCTCAAGGGCAGGATCAATATGCTAAAACTTGAAGGATCCTATTGATACTTCAAGTATCAATACCATGTACATGCTTAGGAGCTATGAGATTCAAAATGTGCAAGAAAATACTAACGCCAGAAATGTAATAAAAGTACTCTACTTAAATAGTGCTTTTGTAATAATATAAGATGTTGAGATTTCTTCCCAAGACCTGATTCCTCTTTATCTGAGAATTGCTCCCCCAAAAGCCCAGAAAATAAATCTCAGTACCTATGTTTATACCTCATGTGACCTCAACCGTAGGGTCACTGTGATTGGATTAGATCCAAATATGTGATTCTAGATGTGCCAGGGGAGTTCTCCTCCCACCAATTTAGAATTGAAACTCAGAGATCACTGGTCACTCTCTCGGGGTCAGGACAAAAGGTGAGTCAAAAGGGCACCTAGGCAGCAACATGTATTGGTGTCGCCAAGCCCTTCAAGTTCTGAAAGTTTGGTTCCCAACAGCCTCTCTTGCCTCGTTTGATGCTGGTCCTGGACTCTGTATGTGCTAACTTCCCCACATTCAGAAGCTGTACCCAGATAGTCACAGAAAGCCTGTCTTGGGGTGGAGTATGAGAGTGTGAGGAGAGAGGGACAGAGACTGAAAGGAGATAGTTTTTATCTGGAGAAACCCCTGCTCCAGAACAGCACAGCACTTCCCACCTCCCTCCCCCAGCCCTTCAGGGCAGAGCTGCAGGCTCTGTGACCTTTCTGCTGCAGGCTAGAGTAGCTTCTCACCGCAGGGGATGGCCCCACTGTGTGGAAGTCATCTGGCTCCTTTTGTTTCAGAGCTGCCCTTTGGGGCTATGAGACAGGACCCCTAGAGAGTCCGCACCTTTAGCTACGCCTATAAGTAAGAGATTGTCTGAATCTAAACAGGACTCATTATTTCTTTATCAGCTGCATCTCTCTGGTTTAGCCACATGCAGCTAGTCAAGTTTTAATTCATTAAAAATAAAATTTAGCCCTGGCTGGTTTGGCTCAGTGGATAGAGCGTCGGCCTGCGGACTGTAGAGTCCAGGGTTCAATTCCGGTCAAGGGCATGTGCCTTCGTTGCAGGCACATCCCCAGTGGAGGGTGTGCAGGAGGCAACTGGTCGATGTTTCTCTCTCATTGATATTTCTGGCTCTCTATCCCTCTCCCTTCCTCTCTGTAAAAAATCAATAAAATATATTTTAAAAATAAAATAAAATTTAAAATGTAATGCCTCACTCACACCACATTTTAACTGCTCAATAGGCACAGTTAACTAGTGGCTACTGCTTTGAACAATGTAGATATAGACCATTTTCATCATTCTAGAATATTCTATTGGATAGCACTACTCTAGATTATAAATTATTCCTCAAGGGCAGGAATTATACCTTGTTCAACACTCTATTCCTTGGTTCCTAAAATAGTGCCTGGCACATATTCATTGCTCAGTAAATGTTTGAGGAATTATAATGTTTTAAATGATAAATAAGAGAGCAAAAAATAAAATAAAAGTGAGTGAAATTTCTCAGAGAGGATGAAGAAGAATAGAAACCCAGTTGAATTTTGATGCACTACTACTGAAGTTCGAGACTCCTCAAAGTCCGATATAAAATTGCCAGGCTTCCCCACTTTTTAAAAATATATATATTTAATTGATTTTTTACAGAGAGGAAGGGAGAGGGATAGAGTTAGAAACATGGATAAGAGAGAAACATCCATCAGCTAACTCCTGCACACCCCCTACTGGAGATGTGCCCGCAACTAAGGTACATGCCCTTGACGGGAAATTGAACCTGGGACCTTTCAGTCCACAGGCTGAGGCTCTATCCACTGAGCCAAACCGGTTTCAGCACTTCTCCACTTCTTTGCAGCAGAAAGCAGAACCCTGCACAGGGCAAAGTGTGAATGAAACCAAGGATACAAAGCAACCAGAGGCCAAGAACCCACAACTGAGCCACCGCCCACAGGCTTATCCTTGTTGGAGAGGGAGCCCTCAGCAATAGGGATACAGCCTGAGAGGGGCTGAGAGCTTAACGCCACCTTGGTGAGCTGCTTCCGGACCCCCACATTCCCAGGAGAAAATGGATCTAGTCTATGCCTGCCGGGAGAACTCGACTTTTCAGAGGAAGGGCAGTTAAAAACTGGCCAAACACCAACACACCAGGGGGCAGGACACACAAAAAAAATGAGAGAGCCGAAGGTCACCCATAGAAGTTAGCATTCCTTATGAAGAAACAACCATTTCATTCCCTTTAGGAGCCTAATGCCTTTCTTTCTTCATCAGGAGCCCGTCCTCCCCCTCCTTCCAAGCAAAAAAAAAAATTTTCTAAAAACAATGTCTTGAGCCAAGAAACAATCTCTCCATGAATTCACATGAGTGGAACCCTGATTTTTGCAGCCAAGTATTTCTGATCAATAAACCTTCACGGGTATGAATCGATGGGCCCTCTGAGAACTGTGCTACCTGCTGAGATGAGAGAAGCACACACAGCACAAGGAAGGCAGCCTTCCCAGGGGCCCGGCCACTGAAACCAGAAAGCAGACCGTTTCTGCCCCGCTTCCCCAAACACTCACCCTGGATTCCGCAGCAGGAAGCAGTCAGGAGCGGAATGCTCGCACTGGACTGCAAGCACTGGATACTTGCCGGTGGCCTGCTAATTTGTATCGTTCAAAACACGCCCGCCTTCCGTTCAAGGGTCAAATTGTCTCTCCAGAAACAGCAAGCAGCGCTTTCACTTTAAGGCCCCAGCAAGCGGCGGGTCTCAGCAGAGGCTGTTCAGCAGCCGTGCCTTTCGGTGCAGAAGTTTCATAATGGAGTCTCATATTTCATCACACAGCTCCGGTTTTCAGTCCCTAACTCCAACTCTCAACTCCCAGCTCCAGACTCCTTTGCTTCAGTTCCTTCTGGATCTTCTCCTCCAAGACTGTGGCCTCTTAGGCAGCTGCCTTTTTGGTGGCTTTTAAAAAGATGAATCCCAAATATCCATCTTCAGTGCAGTGTGGTTTTTAGACTCCCTGGAAATATTGCAGGGGGGAGAGCGAGGGGGAAGGAGGGGACTTTGTAAAGTGTGTGATTAAAGTATATGATAACCACTATGTGGTACACCTGAATATAATACAAAACATTAACTGCAAAGTGTAATTAAAAAATAAATTTAATTTGGAGAGGGTACAGGCTGGGCTGAAGGACACTCCCAGTGCACTTGGGTGCACAAAATTAGTGCCTGGGGGGCGGGGGGGAGGCAGCACAATGCCTCAGCCCAGCCTGTACCCTCTCCAATCTGGGACTACTGGCTCCCAACCGCTTGCCTGCCTGCCAGTCTTATCACCCCCTAACCACTCCCCTGCCAGCCTGATCTACACCTAACTGCTCCCCTGTCA